TATCGAGATGATGCAAAATAAAGTAGGGAGAGTAAAGTTGCGATCCAGTTAGATGGGGAGTAGAACAAGTCGGAGAAGGGAGTGGTTTGATGTGACGCAAGTAGCATTGCCACTGGATTGATATTGGAGACTGGCAATGAGGATGGTGCATGGTTAAGGAAGAAGAATGGCCATAACCATATCAATGTGGCGGAATTAGACGCTGTATTAAAAGGTGTCGACTTGGGTCTGAAGTGGAGTTTGCGAAACATCAAGGTTAGAACGGATTCAGATACAGTGGTTGGTTGGCGGAGTACGGACGAAAGGAACCACAGAGATGATCGTGAAACACCGCTTGTGGAACCTGAAAGAGTTGATTATGGAGTTCAGTATGGAGTTATGAGTGTGTTTTGTTCTGTCTGGGAAGAACATAATAGATGTGTTGACGAGATTGAAGGCCTTGTTAAGTGTCCTGGAAGAGGCAGAAAAGGTGAAAAACCGTCTGCTGCGCAGTGGGGAAGACCTTCACAAAATGTACCTCATGGGAGTTGATAGGATGCTTTATGTGGCACAGAAGGTTGACCGTACAATCACACAATACAAGGTTCGACAGGTGGCAAGGCGTTGTAATAGGAGTCAGTCGATTGATCCTGAGCCAGCCGCGCATGAAGCTGGAAAGGTCAGCGTGAAGAATGACTGGACGAGAATGGCAACTGATGTGACGCTGTATAGGCAGGAGTTACATTTATCACAGTCGACTGCAGACTGGAGACAGTTGAGTGGCGAGTGTGTGGAGGAAATTTCGGGTGTGCTAAATGACCTTTCTTGAGTGAGGTCCAGTTAATAAGGTATTGATATTCATCACTACCTTTCCGTCTCAGGTGTTGAAGAATGTGCTTGACAAATGGAGAGTTAGTCGTTTCTTCAAAGCGGCATACTGGCAACCAAAGACAATATCGCCAGAAATTTCATCTGTTCGGCGTGCTTCAGCTACAATTGACATGACATAGGCATTGTCAGCCATTTCTTTAGTAATGGTACCACCAGCTGAATCTCCCTTAGTCCGTTTCTAGTCTAACTGACCTCGCCCCGTAGTACTTCACATTTTCAGATTTCGCATATATTATCTGTGGAGGAATTACAAACTTGTTGGCTTCTTCACGCTGCACACACGTATGCTGTTAACCTTAGTTCACCAGCAGGGCCTGTGTCAACTATGTATAGACTATAGTGGCCTCTGAATTCTGAACAAACATTTCCTGATACTCATCTTCTCCAAAATATCACAAGGCGGATTTTTCTCCTAGCTTAAGAATATCAGATGACAGATTCATATTGACGGATCATACATCCTACTTCACTGTTCGATAGTCCTCGATTACATTATCACTAATGTCTATGCTTAGCGAACTTTTATCATTGTCAGCGAAAGAAACTACCCAGAATCCTGGTTTGATTCTTAAGAAGGCCTCAGTAGTGTCCAATCTTGCAACTTAGAGTATTCCACTAGTAAAGTCACATTAAGAACAGGTAGCGGGAAAAAGACCAGAGCTACGGAAAAGCACGATTTCTAAGAATCTCTTGACAATTAAATCAAATCTCTTATGCAACATACCGCTTCATCGTCTATGTTGTGAAGATGAACAGATGATTCGATCTCTGATTAAAGATATGCCACAACCAGTGGAACTTGAGATTCCCAACATTTCCTTTCTGTTTATCGCTTCCCACATTACTGACTTCCAAAGTTAGGTCTAATTTTCCTACGCGCTCCTTGACTTCTCGGTAACATCAATAGTTATACAATAGGCTCTTCCCATAAAAATATGGGTCACTCTGAAAGTCTGGAAGGTGCACCTTCAAAGGCAACAACTTCGTTTAAAAATAATACAATACAAGAAAATGAAAGAGAACTTATTAATCGCTGGCGTAATTCGTTTTTTTCGTCCAGGAAAAAGTGACTTTCAAGTTGGGCGGACTCCTGGGTTGGGAAGAGCCTTGGCCTACATGATGGGCTCAATGGGTAGATTCTTTGGGCCTTCAGTGGCACTGGTTTCTCCGCCCTCAAAAAATTCCGTCTTCAATATTAATCAGAACCAACAAATTACTAGCCGATTCAGTAGTGGAGGAGACAAGAAAGGACATTTCTATACCATTTATTCGAGGTACCAAAGGAGTTATTAGTCAAGACTCATACCTCTATGGGTCTACTTTTCAAACTACAAAAATATCACCTCCAATCAAAGTGTCATGGGTTGGATGGGTTGTGTTGGGAGGGAGTAGGAGGGAAGAGTGTAAGGGGAATGTGAGTAAGAGGAGGATGGATATCGGTAGTATCAGGAGGATGAATATCGGTAGTAGTCGGAATTGAGGGGGTTAGGTTGTGTTGAGAGGGAGCAGGAGGAAGGGATGTAGAAGGAATATAAGTAGGAGGGGGATGTCTACTGCGGGTAGTGGGGGGAGGGGATGGTACTGGGTGGAGATTGGAATGTCTGGATTTAGAGTGGCAAAATAATTTGGGGTGGGGTGTTTCATGAAGAAGGTCGTAGGCGTAGAGGTAATGAAGTTGAAGAAGTTGGGAGAGTAGGATTGTCTTCTGGGTAAGGGCTAGACAACTAAAATAGGGGAATACCGTTCCCATGGTTCCCTCAGGCTGTTCAGGACTGGCACAAAGTCGGCCTTTCCTTTCAGGGTTGGAGAAGTGACGGAAACAAAAAAAAGCTGGGAGATAAGGCCATGCACAATTAGTTGAGTTGAGGGCAGAGGCCCTAAGCAGGGGAGAACCCTGCATTGGGTCTCAGTATCCGTCTCCTAAGCCCCACCCCCACAACAACAAAACCTGCATCTACCTCCAAATACTTTCTTTCAGTTTGCAACTGATTTATTCCATTTACAGTCGCTTGCACCTACTTTTTCATGCCATATAACAGCAACCACAGATCCACTTATATATGCTTTTGAAATAGAAAAGGATAACCGATCCATGGAATTGCTTCAGATTTTTCTTCCAACTCTTAATTTCATTTACTCCACAGTTCTGGATCTCCCCTCATCACAAATTCTAATGAGCCATTATGGTTGTGTCCAGATTAACATAGGCCATGCTCCCAACTTCGTCAAGTTAATAAGGATAATTGAATAAGCCGATCCATGTCGTACTCCTACGGCACAGTAAGATCAGAAGTATGCTTCTACTCTTACATCTTCAAGATCTCAATCTTGAAAAGGTGAAGCTTCATACAGATCCTTTGTTAATCGATATGTGACACGTCTACAAGATGTCCCTAGTGTAGCAATGACTTCGCCTCTTAAAAATTCATCTCAATAAGTGGGTACTAGTAGTATATTTTTTCTTTAGAAGTCATTAGTTTTGTCCCCCATATTCAGTTGTTATTCTTGACACCAGAACAGACACAGAAATTTATTTATTGTATTTTTTTCTTCGGCATCAACATCAAAGGTCAGTAGCAATGTATTCACGATTCAGCAATAGGGTGATGCTTTTGGGCAAAGCCCTAGATGAGGAAAGGTCACACAGCACTATGATTAAGCATTGTGTGGCAAAAAGGTTAAAAAATTATTAATGATTAGGACAAAATATGTTAGATGTCAAAGGTTGTAGAGCCCTGTAGGTTAGTATGATAGTGAAAAGGGTAGAGGGAATAGTAAACGGAGTACAAATGCCGTTCAGGACCGACCCAAAGCCAGCCTTTCATCCTTTCAGGACAACCCTCACACTTCAGGATGTGGACAGATGATGAAGAAAAGGAAAAAAGGAAAGGGAAAGACGAAAAAACATGCAAAATTAGTTGAGGTTTGGGCTGAGGTACGATGATCTAGACTGGACCTCAGTCTGTTTCCTATGGCCTCCATCCCAAGAAAACGAGCAAGGAATTGAGAGGAACAGAAAAAGCATTTGATTGATGAAAAAATTTTCTTTTTCTGTCTTGGAGGTCTGGTGTCAAGAGTTTCCTCCCATTTTATATACATTTTTTCAACAATTTTGATGATCTGGGATCAATGCGCCAGTGCTTCGGAAACGTATGGACTAGGGGGCTGGGGTTAATGGGCAATGAGGCAATTGATGGTTGGGGATTGTTCTCCCGTTTCCATTCTGATGGACCCTTATTTTTTTAAACAACGATGACTCAACTCAGTTGGGAAATTCTGATTATGCTTTGTGTACTTGCTACAGCATCTTGATATCTCTATGACAAGATTTTTGTTCATTTATCAAATGTCTTATTTTTGGTTCATAAGGCAATGTTTATGGATTAAATGGGTTATGATAGGAATTGACAAAAGGAATGTTAAATCAAAGTTGTCAAAAGAAAAGGTGTGTGATTTTGCAAGGGTGTCCATGGAGTAAGATACAATCATACTGAAAGGATGTTCCAAGATGTTGCAATACAAAACTCAGGCTTGTAAAAAGAATTTTGTACTACAAGTTGATGCTAAAAAGTAAGTCCATGCTAGGATGAAGAATTAGCTCAAACCTAGTCTCATCGACATACAAACACAAAGGGAAGCCTACTAGCATTTCTTATGTATTACATATAGCAAGTTTCTGTAAATGCATTGTGAAAACTTCAATAGATTTCTTGAAAAATACTTCAGCAAGGACTATTTTGGGAAAGCTTCATGATTTCCCAGTTTATTTAAATTATCAAGTTGAATAAGCACACACACAATGGATGATAAGTCAATTGCAGCTAAAGAACTATTCGTTTTGGGAATTAATCCTTAGTTGGAAGTGGTGATACTAGCAAACAATGCTTAAAAGGATAACTTAAATAACAGTAGTCAAATGGATAAAAAGTAAATAAGATGGCTTTCATGAATATGATACATGCTCTGCATATGGTAGTGGATATGGCAGGGTAAGATGGATCAATTCCAGATAAAACTATGCAATATTTAGAGCAGTAATACCCATTTCATCAACACTTTCAAATCTCTTAAATAAAACAATAACACCAAAAACACACAATTTCTGTCAAGAAGGTTACTGAAACAGATAGTTCTAATGGTATTTTATGTTACCATTTAGTTGACATTACATAAAAATCTTACATTAAGCCTTTAAAGTAAGAACTAGATCTTGTGGATACAAAGACCTTTGAGATCACTTAGGAAATCTACCACAGGTATCTTATACATCAATGAGATTACATAAATTCAAATAAATCTGCCTAAATCTCTCGGAATGACTAAACTGACTGCACATTTCTAGGTGGAGGGTCAAAATAAATAAATAAAACAAAATATAAGTCAAATAAAAATAAAATCTGGTTGTGGTACAAGTCATCGATCCCATGTTTGGTTCTAATCCAAGTATATCAGATTTTTTGTATCTCCTGAATGCTGCTGGAGTTGCTGCTGTTGCTGTTGGTGAAGAAGAAGAGATGCTCGAGTGGCAGCAGATATTGCCCCACTATGGGAGGTCGGGGGCTGCTGCATGCTCAAGTGTGGGTCCAGGAGAGGGTTGGAGGCAGCAAGCATGTGAAGGCTTGCACCCAGGCTCTGGAGGCTGCTCACCTGCACAGATGGCACACCTGAAGAGGAATGACATATGTTACATCAGCTTGATTACTTACCTGAGAAGCCCACTGGGAATGATTCAGGAACTTTATCTCCAAAGTAACACAACAAAAAGGCAAGTATACCGTCTTTTCTTTCTTTCAGAAAAAAAGAAAAAAGAAAAAAGGAACATGTTAACATAAAGACACATTTGTTGTGGTTGTAAAATTTGGACCAGAAAGTTCATACCTAAAAAAATTACAAATATCAAAATATCACAAATACATAAACAAAATAACATCCCTCCCAGGTGTTTTAAGCAGTAAGCATCAGTGGTGAGATAGGAACTAGCAAAACTTGAGTTAGTGCACAAGACAATTCAGGCATCATGGCAGTGACCATAAAGCATAAACTGTGAACCTGAGCCATAACAGATTTTGGTGTTACTAAGGTGTGAATAACCGTATCAAGGATGGTTGCAGCAACAGGAAGCAAAGCAATATCTAATAGCCCTTACCTATTCACCTGTGTTATAAATCATCACCTTGCAGAAACACTGATTACAACATAAAATTGCAAAAGACCTTTCTTTAAGACAAATCATACTATACATAAAGTAAGATACACTAAAATACTCATCCTGAAAAAAAGCAGGAACACTTACATAAATACAACAGCAATACTTTACATTTAATCCAAGGCTCTTCCAATTATGATTTAATAATCAATAAAATAACCCTTACCATTCCAATTACACATCTAATATCTTTAATAGATAACCCTTTTTACTTTCTATATTTCCTAAGACTTTGTTTACCTTTCTTATCTTAATTGTCTTTTAAATACTGATTTTGAACAAAGTGTTTTATGCTTGATATGGCATATAGCACATTCTATTAGACTAGCAGTATAGCCTTCATATTTGCAAACATGGAGGAAAATATGCAAACTGACTGCTAATGACTTCAATTAGATGTTAGTCTTGCCCTATGGAGTGTCAAGCTATTTATAATCAAAAGTACAATAGTTTATGTTAGAGAGATGTTCAAATTTTATTTGACAATACAAAGAGAACTCTATCTACAGAGATGGGAACAGGAAAGTCTCCATGAACTCAAGAAAAGTGTTAAATATCAACAGAAATAAAAGCTACAAAATAATTTGCTCATGGCTCAGTGAAGAAGAAACAAGTGTTGCTTTTCCCATGGCACTTCAAACATGGCATATTCACTTCAGTTATATTTTCAACAGCATCAAAATTTTTCCCCTTAAGTAAAATTACACTATTCTTTTATGTACTTTTCATCCATCTAGACTATATAAGCAATTCTTTTCAAGTGCTTTTTCATTCAAAGGTTAATTAATTCTTGTTCCTTTTTATTGCTTTACACAAACCCAACCATGTGTAGGTCAGTGGATATGGTACGAGGGAATCATCTTGAGGATGAGCAGCACCATACTGTATGTGAAATTTTCATTTTACTTCATATATCTATTTTCCAAAGATCAGAGCTTTAGAAACAGAGGAGGGAATGTCTTCTACTTTTCTTGGTTTCATTAACTGAAAATTTGCAAGAAAATTCAGTGCTGAGAACATTGAGCAAACAAACTAATTATTACGAGTTAAGCTCCACTGATACACGCCAACAAATTCCTGCTGGCCAAAGCAAGCATTTTTTTCTTTCTTTTCTTTTACATGTGCATAAAATTTGTTTACATTTGCAAATGCTTGGTTATTTACACACGGAAGGCAGTTAAGGACAGCCAGGAAGGGCATTTAGAATAATAATGGCATGTTGAAATAAATAAGATTATATATATATTTATCAATCAGCATGTGTGGATCTTTTGAGACGTATAATTACTTTTTTATTATATATTTTTGTGCATGGGGGAATAGAAATGGAATTGAGTCTTATAAAAGGCATACTTATACATAAAACTTGTTTTAAAAATCTATTCTCTTCTTTTACAATGTCCAGGAAACAGTTTGTGGCTTATTTTGTATATATTGATAAGATAACACTAACAATTAGTGTTTTTACATATACTGTTTTGAAGATGTACAAAATAGAATATGAAAGATACTGGAAAATATGCATTTACAATATGATAACTGGACAAAAACGGATAAAAGGAAAATTAGAAAAGAAAAGCAAGATAGGAAAAGATGTTTAACAATGTCTTTCAAAAGCTGAAGAAAAGAGAAAGCTGAAAGAGAAAACTTCTTTTTTAGATATCTATTTTGCATATTTACCTAAAAAAACATACATATATGTGCTTACTGTCCTTAACAATGAAAATGTACAGCCAAACTGTCAGTCAAAAATCCTAACTTTAAAAATAAAAGGAAAAAGTAGCAATCTCAGGTTTTACTGTATTCACAAATTTACTTCCCCTTATGGTCCAAATAATATAAGTGAAATTCTCCAAAGTAATTATCAAATTACATTAAAATGGCCTGGTTAAATACAGAAAAAATGGGAGCACTATATAACAGGTCAGTCTTTGTAATCAAGATGATACCTGCACATCTGAGACCAACTGAATACATAAAACCTTACCATTAATTTTGTGATACTAATGAAAACCAATTGTGATTTAAAAGAAAGAAAAAGAACATAAAATAGACCAACAAAAACTGAATGCAAACATTCACTTACTGTAACAGAATATAAGCATATCTCGGATAGGCAAATAATTACATACTTCACTTGCTTATTTTTTTCCTTTTCCTTTCTTTTAACTCCTGCCCAATTCATTTATATCCAAGCAGCAATTTCAACTTATATGTATATATATATATATATATATATATATATATTATATATATATATATATATATATTATTATATTAAATACATATTTTCACACACCTATATGAAACCTGCTCTGAAGCTGAAAATATTTGCACAAGGAGACTAGAGAAACATGCTTATCCACAAAACCAGCATTATGATGGGCTTATGGTAACAAGCAACTATTGTAAGAGGCATGCAATATATAAAGCTACATACTAAAATAAAAATAAAAATAAACAATAACAAAAAGGAAAATAAACAAAATAAGAAACAAAAAGAAAATGGGAAAAAAACGTGATGGAAAAAAAAAAAAAAAAAAATAATAATAATAATAAGTAAATAAAAATAAAATGAATCACATTCCCTTAGTCAGAGGTTACGGGCAGCTTAGTTGTGATGGCAGTCAGGAGTCTTCCAACCAACTTTGCCAATTTTGAAAACTTTTTTTTCTTCTTTTCAGTTTTGAGGTCAAAATACCTCTAATATCTGGTCTTTGTATAGCAAAGTCAATACACTTTAGCGATTTTATCTCTGATTACAAAAATTTGAAGTTACATAAATATATCTTAAATACATCATTTCATATGAATGTTATGTGATAAGCCAATATTCAACTCAACAACAAGCCTCCACCATGTATAGGTTAGGCATCCTCGAGGAGCAGTGGCTACTCCTGACCACCAGTGACAGCCACACTCACCGAGCTGGGTTAGTGTCACACTGGGCCACGCAGAGCAGCAGTAGCAGCAGGAGTAGCATCAGCAGCATCAGCAGGGGTCTACTTGGAGGCAGGGTTGGCAGCCATGGGAGGGATACCTGGGAAGGCAGCCTGCACAGCACCTGGTCCTGTAGCAGCTCCCGGTAGTGAATATTGGGGTCGGAAGTTAGCAAAGTTGGCGTTACCCAGGGTTGGCAGCGCACCAGTAGGAGTGAAGCCACCAGGGAATGTGGTAGAAATTTGACCTGCAAACAAAACCAAATATTAACAATGGATTCTTTAATTCACTGATTATAGAAGTAATGAACTGGGAAAAAACAAACATTCCTGATGCTAAGCTTTACAACACTGCATTCTAACTGACATTTTGGAGAAAAAACAAAAAATATTTTTGACATTGAGGAACAATAAATACTAGACAAAGAAACAAACAAATAAATAATTAAAATCAATACAACAAACATCTCTTGAAAAGAATCCTTACTAAAAATTACTTCTGACAGGCAATTGCCAACACTGCTGGATTGTTCATTTTACAACTTCCCTATAAGACAAATCTGTAATGACTGCACTAAATGCATGCCTTGCCAAACATTTCAATCTTCTGAAGAGTGTTAATCTAAAAATAAGACTGCAGAATATAATCCAGTTATCTTGGCCACCATATCTAAACTTGGAACTGCAAAATCATTAGTGTAAGGGATAATGAAAATAAATAATACTGTAAATACTGAAAAAATAAACCTATCACACATCATACACCACAAACCATGAGGGTTAATTATGCAAACATTTATGACCAAAATCATGAATAAAAAAGCAAAACATTAAAACTGCAGCAATGTTGGTATAAATGTGGCATAACAAACAGTTTTATCAGTAAATGAAAAGGAATCAGCACACCTAATAAAACGCTAGGCTTTGTGCAATCCGTTGGATAGTGCAAAACAAAGTTCACTAAATTATATAAATTTCTCTACTGATAATTTAAAAATTTGCAATACAACTATTCAAAATTACAAAAAACTTGCTATGTACCAAAGAAGCTAAATAAATATTTTCCCCAGCATTAACAATAAAATAAAACACAGGATAAAAGAAAAGCAGGATGAAAAGATTTTCCAATGGAAATTTCTGACCATACCATTCTAACATTGAATGCTCTCCTTGCGGAAGGGTAATAAATACCAACTTACTGAAGCTGATGACACACTTCACCAAAACCAGACAACCTGAACCATCAATAGGAAGAGGAATTTCTGGCAACACTAACCCTCACCTGCTCCTTGAGCGCTTTTGTCCACATTACCCGCGCCTGAGGCCAGGCGAGATAGGATAGAACGCTCAGACATTTGGAGACGCTGGGCCACAGGGGGAATACGGGCAAGGGAAGCAGGTAACCGTGTGACATCAGATTTCATGTCTGACAGCAGCTCCTCAAGCTGGTTCAGCACCTATTTCATGGACAAATAAAAATCATAAGCTATTTAAAAATATTAGTGTAATATATATTCACAGGCACTGAATGAAATATGTCAGTAGTAAATTTTTTTTTTTTTTTTTAGCACAAGCTTAATGAAATCTAACCTTATTTAGCACTGCATTAGCTGGCTTATTTCCAGCCAGGGACTCCTTGCTGAGGTGCTGGTGTGATTCGGCCAGACATTCCACTTCAGCGAAACGAGCATTCAAGGTGCAAGCAGGATGATGGGGATCCTGTTGTAAGTTAAGGAATGCTGCACGACGCAGCTGTTCCTCAATGACCAGTGCTTGCTCTAACAGCTGCTTGGTCCCAAAAGAGAATAGGAAAATTATCAAAATCTGATTTTTTGCCAAATTTCTCCTTACGACAGAAGACTGCACGGGAATTCACTACCAGAAAGGAGAGGACAAAAAGAGAAGAAAAGGAAAGAAGAGAAAAAAAGGAGCAAGAAGAAAATGGAAATAATAATACATGGCATTTCAGGAAACAAATATGAAAATATATAGGCAACAGTAAACTAAACCTGATAAAGGATGATTTACAACAAAGTAAACAATAGAATAGAAAAATTACAAATACATTAATAAAATATTACCTTGAACCTTCTGGCAAGGAATTTGTTTTTAATTTCCAAGAAATTACCCTTGCCCACATCCATCTTGAATGGCTCATTGATGATGGCAAACCTGACATCATTCTGGATGTCTTGCCACCTTCCATACCCATGGGTAACAATGCCAGCAAGCAGCCAATAATCATGCCTGCAAAAATAAAATATTACTAACCTATATTGTCATATATAATTTTTTTTGGAACAACTGGATATACAAGTCAAAAATTTAAAATGTACATTGATTCAGGACTCAAAGCCTACCTGCGGTGCCAAATCTCATACTCGCGGCCAGGAACAGCTGCCTTCTCCTCATTTTGCCACAGTGTGTGCAGCTCAGTGAATCCACCGTCAGCAATATTGAACATGAACTTTCTCTTTGCCACGGAATCCACATCCTTCTTCTTGGAATCCTTCTTATCATCCTCCTCCTTCTTATCTTTGTCCTTTTCTTTGTCTTTATCTCCTTCCTTCTCCTTTTCTTTCTCTTTGTCTTTCTCCTCCTCCTTCTCTTCCTCTTCTTTCTTGACTTCTTCCTTCTTTTCAGTCTCCTTATCATCCTCTGTCTTTTCAACCTTTTCAGTCTTGACCTCAGCCTGCAAATAAAATATGTAATTATGGCGAAGAAAAGTAAGACAACTACGTGGTTCTAAGTTAAGTTAGTACAAGATAAATCTAAATAAAATCAGTATTTCATCAAATTAAAGATTTGCTTCACTTGCCTCTTCCTTTTCTTCAGTCTTTTGTTCTCCTTCCTTCTGTTCTTTTTCTTCAGTTTCCATTTTCACTTCCTCTTTCTTCTCTTCTTCCTTCTTGGTCTCTTCTACTTCCATCTTCTCTGGCTCCTCTTTCTTCTCCTCTTCAGGCTTCTCAGTCTTCTCAGTTTGTTCTGTTTCTTTCTTTTCTTCTTCCTCTGCCTTTACTTCTGGTGTTTCAGCAGGTTCCTCCTTCTGTTGAGGTAAAAATGCCTCATTATTTTGGGGTCTCTGCTACAACATGTTTGGGCAAAAGGTATGGATCACTGAGAAATCATTGATCACAAACTTGTTAAAATTAAAACAGGATTACAATTCAAAATTTACCTTTTCTTTTTCTCCTTCCGTCTTCTCTTCCTCCTTCTTCTCTACCTTCTCTTCCTTCTTTTCTTCTTCCTTTTCTGTCTCCTTTTCATCCTTCTTTTCTTTATCTTCGGCCTTCTTGTCTTCTTCTTTCTTAGCTTCTTCCTTTTTGTCCTCTTCCTTGTCTTCTGATTCTCCCTTCACAGATGGTGCAGGAGATGGAGTTACACTTGTTGCTGGTGTGCCTATGATGGACAGAAAATTATGTATTGTCAAACAAACCTACAATATGAGAAAACACAAGTTTATAGAAATGCAACTACAAAAATAGGAAACAGGGAAGAAAAAGAAAAGAAAAAAGATAAAGACAAAAAGGATCAGGTATCAATTATGAAACATAAGATCACTCACCAGAAGCAGAAGTACCATTGCTCTTGCCACCATCTACTACTGCTGGCTCAACAGGCCTATTTAGAGCTTCTGGCATTGAGTAATGGCCATTGATTGTCTCAAACTCTGAAATCTAATAATAAAAATGTATAATTAGATGACAACCACATCCAAGTTAAGAGTATCAAGTACTAACAAAGACCTTTGAACTGATAATATATGCAAACTGCTTTAAGACAAATGAAAGCCTTACTGTATTTTGTTTTCATGAAATGTAAAAAGATTTTATCTAACAGACGAATAACAATAACATGGCTTATATAGTGTGATACCTTTTTGCGAATGAGTGACATCACTCCAATTCTGGTGAGAACGTGTTGTCTGCTTAATCCTTCACGAGGCACTCCATCAGCAAATGTTTCAGCATTGTCATTACCAGGCTCACACAAATGGCGCATGAAGAGAGATGTGTATGCTCTGAAGCACTTCTCACTCTTGCCTCGGAGGTCTCGTACCAACCTTTAAAAATGAAACCATATTTGTATTTTGATATGAGCAATAACAAACAATATGAAAAATTAATTGCCTGTCTTCAACCAGTTGGCCACAATCACCACAACTTAGAATAACTGCATAAACAGGGTGCATTCAAATCTAGGTAGCAAGACATTCACTGGCCTCACATTTGACCACCTGTCATGAACGAGCCTGCAAGAAGGGGGGGTAGATATATTCAAAATATTCAAAAGTTTAACAAAAGGAATCAAACTAATACTAAAGTGTTTAACTGCCTATAGACCTACCATTGAGAGTTGAAAGCTTCTTGAGGAGGCATTCCATAACGCATAACTGCATTGAGGAAAGCCTTGCGTTGTCTGGCATTGAATCCCAGAACCTGTCAATATAATCGCACATTAAACAATTGTTATTGTATACAAAAAGTAAAGCTAAGTATCTAATTACAAATACTAGTTTCTATCAATTTTATATAGAATAATATAACTGTTTTAAAGGGCCTTTATGTCTTGGCCTTACTTAGCCAATACTCCTATGCCTCTAAAATTGATCTTGTCCACGTTTTACAACCAAAACCACAAAACTAACTGGTATGGCCAAGATTCATGGACATCATTTGATTAATAATTATAAAAGTAATAATAATAACATCAATTACTACAATATTTTTACAATAATACTTAAATAGATTCACTGAACACACATAAACAGACACAAATTTGTTCAATTCATGTACACCCTTTTACACATTTATCAAAAGTGTGTATCTCCAATATCTTACTTCAATATTTCCTCCAACTCGGGCAAGAAGTGGCGGCAATGGACGATCACGGTCACCTCTGTCACCACGACGGCGTGATCTACGGCCTCCTTCAGCTGAGGGCAAGTTTTAGATTAAAAGTATCTTAAAATTACAATTACAATAACATATGTGTGTAATACTAACAGGAGACAAATAATCTTCCTCATCTTTTCATTCATGTACTTAGAGTAGCTCAATGTCTATGAAATATAAAACACTTACTTTCATTCTTTTCATCAAATTCATCATCATTATCATTGTCAGATGGCATGGAGAAGTCAGAGTTGTAGTCTGATCAACTTATAGAGTATGATTCAATTTCTGAAGTGATGGCATGATCAAAAAGTCGATTACACCCAGTAAAGGGAATCTGTATTATCTGCTTCTTGCTTCAAAACTTCAACATCTTCCATTTCCTCCTGTAGAAATAACACAAATCATTATTATATATGCACTTTTCATAATGGGTAGAAAAAAGCTTTTCACCTGAATAATTTTCATTGAAACTGTAACTAAAACTACTCACCTCTTCCCCTTCTTTGGTAACATATGAAGCAACCTTGAAAGAGCTGAGATACTCATTAGCCCAGTTCTCCTTCTGTTCAATACCCTCCTTTGTACGGTCAAGGAGTTCCTCAATAGCCTGGTTATCATAATGGATAGCTTCATCCTCTTTGCCTTCCTCTTCTTTGAAAAGTTCTTCTGTACCAAACCTGTGAAAGTATACAGTTACAAAAGAATATTCATATGGGATAGCAAACCTTCTTTTCTTTGAAATTCTTTTGTAGGTTACAAAATTCTTCATCCTCTTTGCCTTCCTCTTCTTTGAAAAGTTCTTCTGTACCAAACCTGTGAAAGTATACAGTTACAAAAGAATATTCATATGTCTTTTTACCAAATAAAGGGAAATAAAGTCTACTTGCACATAACTCCTTTTAAATACAAAGACATTTACTTTAAAGAAACACATTGGTCAGAACAAAATATACCTACATGGCAAAGCTTAAAAAATTTACAAAAGAAAAGACAAAAAATGTGCTTACCTCAAGATATCATCCAATTCTTGTTTGGAGAAGTTTGTGGCTTTTGATCCCATTCCAGGACGGACAACCAAGTGAGTCAACATCATCTTTCTCTTAGCAACCTGTGTGACTCTTTCTTCAACAGAGTTACGAGTCACAAACCGGTAAATCATCACCTGTAAGAATAAAGGCCAGACTTATTTGTTGGAATAATTCATATATATACAGTATAATTAGGTATAAAACTGAAATGATGCACTGGTATTAAAATCTGATCTATACTGTAAATATTTCAATGTCAATAATTCTTTTAACTATAAATCATGACAAAGATCTATATTTATTCTACACTTCAAAGGATTCCGTAACACTAAGACTATTATTACATTTAATTTACCTTATTTGCCTGACCAATACGATGAGCTCTGGAGAAAGCTTGAATATCGTTATGTGGATTCCAATCAGAATCATAGATGATGACAGTATCTGCAGTGGCCAAGTTGATACCTAAACCACCAGCACGAGTAGACAATAAGAAAATAAACTGCTGGGCACCTGGAGCATTGAATCTGTATGGGAGATGAAAACATTGTAAATAAACCATATAATGACTCTGTCTCAACAGTTGCTATCACACATTATAATTCTTAGTTGGTGGTCCCTATCAATGGCTTCTTGACGAGCTTGACCAGTGATGCCACCATCAATTCTTTCATATTTGTAACCCATGCCCTCACAGAAGTCTTCCAAAACATCTAACATCCTTGTCATCTGGGAGAAAATCAACACACTGAAAAATAAAAAGGAGAGACACATTTAGAACTCAACATTAATGAGGTTTGAGGTTGATTAAGAAGTTAAGGGGAAATTTTGATCTTCCCTGACTTCCATAAAAAAATTAAAAGATAATTTCAAAACTGTTTTTCTCAACATGTCAAATAACTGCAACCTTCACTGTGAAACTCACCGATGGCCATCACGTTTGAGCTTCTCCAACATACTCTCCAGGAGAATGAACTTGCCACTGGCCTTCACAAGGTCTCTGCTTACATACATTCCATTTGGCAGCTTAGGGGCCTCCTCTGCTGCTGCTGGGAAGAGGTATGGATGGTTGCAACACTTCTTCAGATCCATGACAATGTTGAGCAAAGAAACCTGGAAAAGAAAAATGTGATGAGAAATAATTGCCCAATTACAATGATTATAAAAGAGTATTCCCATGAGTAACATCCTTTCATATATCTATCTACAACCAAGCTTTGTAAATGAAACTTACCTGTTGGCCTCCTCCTCTTGAGTTAAGGGCTTCAAAATTACGGGTAAGAATGTATTTGTAGTATTTCTTCTGCAGTGGTGATAACTCCACACGAATGATGAACTCTGACTTGGTTGGCATGTTCTAGCAAAAGAACAACAAAATATCAAATTATTATAATCTGATTTCCACATAGCTCATCAAACTATAAAGCAAGTATCAAAGACTGTGAAAGAAAGAGAATCATTAATTTACCTTGAGTACATCAGTCTTCAATCTTCTCAACATGTGAGGTCCAAGCAAATCGTGCAGTTTTTTAATCTGATCTTCTTTTGCAATATCTTCAAATTCATTTTGGAAGGATGATAGATCAGAGAATTTTTCAGGACACAAGAAGTTGAGTAAATGGAAAAGTTCCTCCAGGTTGTTTTGAAGTGGGGTTCCAGTTAAAAGCAGACGATAAACGATGTTGTACTGGTTCAGCACACGGAAGAACTGTCCAAATAAAGGGGCATTAATCCAACTTACAAATTTCAGAACACGAAAACACAAAAACACAAAGTATAGCAGTCATATTCACTACATGTGTCCATAGAGATCAATATTACCTTAGACTGGTTACTCTTCAATCTGTGAGCTTCATCTACAACCAAGCATGCCCACTCTAATGATCCTAGGCAAGCTTGATCCATAGATATCATCTCATAGGAGGTTAGAAGTACATTGAATTTTACATTTGTTGTACGGATACGTGTGGCTTTTGATGCACTTCGCACTGCTCCTTCCTCAAATGACAATTCATGCTCACGAATCATAGATCGTGATTCTCTGTCACCTACATATGTAACAACATAGAAGTCTGGGGCCCACATCTCAAACTCTCTTTCCCAATTAATGATGGTGGAGAGTGGGACAGCTACAAGGAAGGGACCTTTAGAGTGTCCTTCTTTGTAGAGTGAATACAAAAATGCAATGGTCTGAATTGTCTTTCCAAGACCCATCTCATCAGCCAAGATGGTGTCTGTTCCCTGACCCCAAGAATATCTGTAAAAAGAGACAATACTTAGCATATAAAATATATCATATAACTGTTACAAGTTTTTGGCTCTAAGACAGGTGGATAACAAGATTTTATATTTTGATATTTTGGATGTTAAAGATGTGCAAAAGCATAAAGCAAAAACATAACCAATAAAAGCAGAAATGATATTAAGGCAATCATAAAAATAAAAATAGTTAAAAAAATAGCAATATATATCAATATTGATAAAAACAATGAATAAAAACTAACTACTTAATTACAATAATTTGTGAACTGTTTAATGGCATTAGGTCTTCAGTGAATCTCTCAAAAGTATTCTATCCTTACCGTAACCAATTAACACCCTCAAGCTGATACTCGTGAAGTGAGAGCCCAGTCATATCCAGGTAGTCTGGCTGCTTCTCCCACTTCTTACTGAGGTTCGTTACTGGTTTATCAGGTGGAGGAGTGTATCGCCGGGGTGAAGAAGGCTCACGATCTTCCTCTCCCAATTCTCGTGCCCTTGCCTTGCCTTTCTTCTTTCCTTTCTTACTCTTACCAACTGTAAATAAAACAAGAATTACAGTGAAAATACTGATCATATTAAGCATTAGTTAAAATATGCAAAAAGAAATGTAAAAATGACAATTCACAAAAGTGATGGATCATTTGAGAACACTAACCAGCATCAGCATTACATGCTGCTCTCAGATCATGATAAAACTCAATTGCAGTTTTTAAGCCAATAATCTCTTCATCCTCATCTTCCCATGTAGCTTGGTCATAGGGTAAGTCTCGCCATTTCACAAGATACTGTATGGTTCCATCCCGCAAAGAACGATGGTTCAACACACGATGGATTTTCAACCAGGTGGACTTGATTCCATATTTGTAATATCTGTTGAGAAATTAAATTTTAACTCAAATTGAAATGCACCCACCCAATTGAAAGCAGTCTTTTATCTATATATACACAACACAATAATATCATGAAAATATTTTGTATTTCTACCTTTCTTCCAAGGAGTTTGGATCAATGCTTTTGCCACGTCTTTGTGACCCTACTTCATCGTCGTCATCCATACCAGGTACAGGTGGCTCATCTGGATCAAACTTTTTGAAGTATGAGCGCAACATCTAAAAGGAAGGAAAAATATCATTGCTTAAACACTTTTACAGATTTAATAAACTGACAAGTCTACAATAAGCTTATATAAAAAACAAAGCAGAACAACAACAACAATATACAAGCCTATATTTTTAATTCAGAAGCTGAAATGACCATAAAAACTGTGGATGATAAAAGGTTTACCTGAGGATGATGTACATCCAACATGAGTTCAGAAATCCAAGAGCAGTGCCAGTATGACATATCAACCCACTTCACCAAAAACTCTCGCAGCTGTTTGAACTGATATTTTTCCCATTTGTCTCCAACAATCTCCTTCCAATTCTCTGGTGGCTTTGGAGGGTCAACATATCTGCAATCACAAAAGCAAAGATTCAGACACTGCATCACAGTAGAAAATATATCTATGTGGACTGTAAATCATTAAGAGAAAGTGAGAGAAAAAACAATAATAACATAAAAAAATAAAAAAATAAAAAATAAATATATAAAATAAAATTCTAATACTATACTACAGATAGATGAAAGCTAAGTAGGACTTACCTCCAGAATAGGATCTTCTGGACTTTTCCTGGCAAAGGTTCACAAGCACAGCGCTGACAGGTCCATTCTCCTTCAGGTACTTCAAACAAAGGTGGTGACAAACAATATGTATGGTAGGCATTCACACATGAATCACAGCAAAGAAGTTCACCACCATCCTAGAAAAAATGTTTAGTTAATAATGATGATGATAATAAAGTCCCATCATTCATGATTCTTATACATTTTCCATAAAGAGAGAGAGAGAGAGAGAGAGAGAGAGAGAGAGAGAGAGAGAGAGAGAGAGAGAGAGAGAGAGAGAGAGAGAGAGAGAGAGAGAGAGAGAGAGAAGAGAGAGAGAGAAGAGAGAGAGAGAGAGAGAGAGAATAAGAGAGAGAGAGATAAGAGAGAGAGAGAGAATAAGAGAGAGAGAGAATAAGAGAGAGAGAGAGAGAGAGAGAGAGAGAGAGAGAGAGGAGAATAAGAGAGAGAGAGAATAAGAGAGAGAAGAGAGAGAGAGAGAGAATAAGAGAGAGAGAGAGAATAAGAGAGAGAGAGAGAAGAAGAGAGAGAGAGAATAAGAGAGAGAGAGAGAAATAAGAGAGAGAGAGAGAGAGAGAGAGAGAGAGAGAGAGAGAGAGAGAGAGAGAGAGAGAGAGAGAGAGAGAGAGAGAGAGAGAGAGAGTGAGTGAGTGAGTGAGTGAGTGAGTGAGTGAGTGAGTGAGTGAGTGAGTGAGTGAGTGAGTGATGAGTGAGAGTGCGCTGAATATGATAGGATATGAGAGAGGAGAAGAGAGGAGAAGCGAGGAAAGGAGAAGTGAAAGGAGGGGAGAGACGAGGAAAGGAGAAGTGAAAGGAGGGGAGAGACGAGGAAAGGAGAAGTGAAAGGAGGGGAGAGGAAAGGAAAAGAGAAGTGGAAGGAGGAGAGAGGAAAGGAAAGGAGAAGTGGAAGGAGGAGAGAGGAAAGGAAAGGAGAAGTGAAAGGAGGGGAGAGGAAAGGAAAGGAGAAGTGAAAGGAGGGGAGAGGCAAGGAAAGGAAAGGTGAAAGGAGGGGAGAGGTGAGGAAAGGAGAAGTGAAAGGAGGGGAGAGGTGAGGAAAGGAGAAGTGAAAGGAGGAGGAGACGAGGAAAGGAGAAGTGAAAGGAGGGGAGAGGAAAGGAAAAGAGAAGTGGAAGGAGGAGAGAGGAAAAGAAAAAAGAGAAGTGGAAGGAGGAGAGAGGAAAGGAAAGGGGAAGTGAAAGGAGGGGAGAGGAAAGGAAAGGAGAAGTGAAAGGAGGGGAGAGACGAGGAAAGGAGAAGTGAAAGGAGGGGAGAGACGAGGAAAGGAGAAGTGAAAGGAGGGGAGAGACGAGGAAAGGAGAAGTGAAAGCAGGGGAGAGACGAGGAAAGGAGAAGTGAAAGCAGGGGAGAGGAAAGGAAAGGAGAAGTAAAAGGGGGGTGGGTGGGAGAGGAAAGGAAAGAAGTATAAGGGGGGGGGGAGGAAATGGAATAAAGGGGGGGGGGGAGGGAGAGGAAAGAAAAGAAGTAAATGGGGGTGGGGGAGGGAGAGGAAAGAAAAGAAGTAAATGGGGGGGGGGGGGGGGGGAGAAAGGAGAAGTCAAACGAGGGGAGAGGAAAGAAAAGAAGTAAATGGGTGTGGGGGGGGGGGAGAGGAAAGGAAAGGAGAAGTCAAATGAGGGGAGAGGAAAGAAAAAGTAAATGGTGGGGGGAGGAGGAGAGGAAAGGAAATGAGAAGTCAAATGAGGGAGAGTAAAGGAAAGGAGAAGTGATAGGAGGGGAGAGGAAAGGAAAGGAGAAGTAAAAGGGGAAGGGGTTGAGGAAAGGAAAGGAGAAGTGTAAGGGGGGGGAGAGGAAAGGAAATGAGAAGTCAAATGAGGGGAGAGTAAAGGAAAGGAGAAGTGAAAGGAGGGAGAGGAAAGGAAAGGAGAAGTAAAAGGGCAAGGGGTTGAGGAAAGGAAAGGAGAAGTAAAAGGGCAAGGGGTTGAGGAAAGGAAAGGAGAAGTAAAAGGGGCAAGGGGTTGAGGAAAGGAAAGGAGAAGTAAAAGGGCAAGGGTTGAGGAAAGGAAAGGAGAAGTAAAAGGGGCAAGGGTTGAGGAAAGGAAAGGAGAAGTAAAAGGGCAAGGGGTTGAGGAAAGGAAAGGAGTAAAAGGGCAAGGGGTTGAGGATAAAAGGGGCAAGGGTTGAGGGAAAGGAGAAGTAAAAGGGGCAAGGGGTTGAGGAAAGGAAAGGAGAAGTAAAAGGGGCAAGGGGTTGAGGAAAGGAAAGGAGAAGTAAAAGGGGCAAGGGGTTGAGAAAGGAAAGGAAAGGGGGGGGGAGGAATGGAAAGAAGTATAAGGGGGGGGGGGAGAATGGAAAGAAGTATAAGGGGGGGAGAGGAAAGAAAAGAAGTATATGGGGGGGGGAAAGGAAAGAAGTATAAGGGGGAGAGAGGAAAGAAGTATAGGGGGGGGAGAGGAAAGAAGTATAAGGGGGGGAGAGAGGAAAGAAGTATAAGGGTGGGTGGGTGGGGGGAAGAGGCATGAGGAGTGGCAAGAGAAAGATTACTAACCTTACAAACTTTACAGTACTCCATATGTTCATCTTCTTCCTTGACTCCCTCTGACTCACAAGTGGGGCATGACCACTTGCCCTCAGGAGCCTCTTCCAATTCTGGTTCAAGACACACCAGATGGTAAGCCTTAGGACAAGTGTCACAAAGGATGATCTCACCACCCTGCTGACATACCTCGCAGTAATCCTGATTTGGGGGAGACTGATTAAGTTGAAAGAAACGAGTCAGTATCAATGTCCAGACTCCAGTTTCCTTATACCTTAACTAAAGAACTGCATAATTACGTACAAGGTGACAACTAAAGAGCATTCCACAGAACATTCTTACAAAAGCTATAGTCATTCTTATTCATGCATCTTCTAATAGTAAAAATAAACAAACACACTCACTTGATGATCTGTTTCATATCCATCCTCATCCTTTGCCTTCATACGTTTTTTACGCTTATTTTTGTTGCCAATCTTGGTTTTGGCTTTCTTTTTGGGCGCATTTTGCTGTTCTGCCTCATCTTCAGCCTTATTCATGTCCTCTGCCTCAGCTAACATTTGCTCAAACTCTGCATCACTGTCTTGGCTTGACTCATCCTCCTATTCATCCCAAGAGTTAAAAAAAAAAGAAAAGAAATATTATCAGTAACTGTGCCAGAACATGAGGTTTACACTATGATTAGGCCTAGTTCATAGTTTGCAGCTAAGAAAACAAGGAAATGATACTACACAACTAGGTGATATAAATGAGGCTGATTTTTTTTCTTCTGTTCTTTTTTTTTTTTTTTTTTTTTTTTTTTTTTTTCTTTTTTTTTGTAGTTGTGTGTATTTTTTTTTTTTTTTAATCGAAAGTAGGCAATCTCACAGCCCACAATCTATAAAGAGGGTGCACGCTGCCTGGCAGTCAATAAAGTTTCATGATAAAGAGGGATATAAACCCTTTTTGTGAGGTGTAGGTGCAAAAGGGAGGAGGCCTTATCATATAAACCTTACATGCCAAGTACTTGAGATTTTGTAACATACTTTCTGGGACTCCTGCAGGACCGGCTCATTGTTTTTGTTCAGTCCTTTGGTGTGGCCCTGCGATGAGGTGGGTGCCAAAGGACAGGGAAGTTTTAAAGCAAAATGAATTGGACTGAGAGAGCATTACATAGATTTAACTTGGGAATAATGGGAAGCACATATAGTGCCTGAATATAAATATTAAGAATGGTTAGTATCATCTAAATTAGGAATGAAAAAAACAGAAATAACTGTCAATTTCAATTTAGATCATCACTAGAAAAGAATTTTGCCAGAAGGATATTCTATAATACTTTGATAAACATATGAAATTTATCAACAGCTTTGGAGCTTAGCTTGGTCAAGCAGATGAGGAGAAGTAATGTCACGATTCTGCAACATATAACTGAGATCTGTGAGATTGCAAGACGACAAATTTCTGGGGATCAAAACTAGAATTGCCAATTAGAAATAAATAGAACTAATTCTCTTAGTACTATTAATAAGGTAAATCTCCATTTTTCATAGGACAAAGTATCTCAGAAAAAATAAAACTTGTTTTAGCATATACGATCAGAAGACAGGAATGGAGAGGATTCTAGATTCTCTCTCTACATAAGGCATTAAACTTACGAGGAGGGAGAGTTTCACCTTCCTAGGAATATCAAATTCAAAAGACACTATGAATCTATTTTTCATCAAGAACCTTGTGTCAAAGATCTGGGATTTTGTTAAAATATTTCAAATGGAACATGCAAACTTAAATCTAAATAACATAGAAAAGAAGATACACTTGTGTCTAGTGTCCAATAATCTACTGTATCCATCAACTGAACCCAATACCAAAATGTAAACAGATTAAGAAGAAATACGCAAGAATCATCCAAAATATCCTCAAAACCAGTGCTAGCAGGACATTTAGGTTGATATCACTTTGCTTTTTTACAAGACAACTAAAACTTGAAAAATCAAGTCGAGAGATCCTGGCACAAGAGTTTCTTCAAAACTACAATTATTAACCAAAATAGACCATCTCACCAGACTCACCGAGGTGTCCTTCTTCCTCTTCCCTAACTTAATCTTCAAAGTTGGAACTTTTCCACCCTTTTTGTTTTTTCCTTCAGCTGTAGCAGTGCGTTTTCGGCCACGTTTCTTCTTACCCACGCCCTCACTATCATCATCAAAATCTTCCTCAACTTCTTCATCTACCTTGGCTTTTCTAGGGCGTCCTCGACCCTTGGGTGTTATCTGTTGACATAAGCAATGATAATAAGAATGGGTTTCTTTTTGATACATAACCTTAACCATAAGTAACCCCCCCTTACATATGAAGTCTCTAACATCTCATCAGTTCTAGTAAACTAATAAACAAATGAAAAAAACGTTAAAAGATTTTCACTTTCCATATGCATATGCCATGCTCTAATCTACAACAAAATATCTTACTTGTACCGGTGCTGGTTCTGGTTCCTCTTCTTCCTCCTCTTCTACAATTTCATCTTCCTCCTCCTCTTCCTGCTGCTGATTGCGAGCCGTGAATTCACGCCACTTTGCAGCTACCAACATCATCAACTTTGACACTGGTACCTTTTAGATACGTGGACAGAGAAGATTTCTATCATAAAGAGTATCTTTAAATTTCTTTTATGAATACCCAACCCCCTTTTCATTACAAAAATGGTTTAATACTTTTAAAAATAATTCTATTACCTATTACAAAATTAATTCAAAGGAATGCAACACTAAATGAGTGTCTCCACAAGGTTGATAAAAAATATAGCAACACAAACAGAAAATACCTTACCCTTGGATTTTCCTTAGCCAGAAGTGGACGCACATGTTGCTGGAACAACTTGTATGTTGTCAAATTCTGAAAGTCTGAATCAGTGTACTCCAATTCGACATCATTCAGACCAAAGCTTTCACACACCTCAGCAACAGTTGGCATCTGATCTCCTCCACCTGTGAAATTATCTGACAAGATTAACTCAATCCTCTACCACGTTAAATCTATCCTTTATGTGGTGTCAAATGTAATAACTTTTCAAGGCATCAAGTTGTAATGATGATAAAAAGTAGTTCTTGTATTACTCACTTGATTCTGGTACTGTTGCTGTGGGAGTTGCAGGAGGTCTCCCACGTCCCTTTCCACGCCCCCTTCCTTTCGGGGTCTCTTCTTGATTGTCTGAGTCAACACGACCACCCTCTTCTTCATATTCACCTTCCTATTTATATTTGTGAATAATCATAAAGTGTCTTTGGTAAGTTTCATTAGATATGCTAACTAAATAAAAATTGGTTAATACCTCAATGTATTATTGCATCACTGAACTAACTAAAGTAATCAGGTAAATTGGGTCCAATTATTATTCTACGATAGAGTATATGTCTGTAACACAATCTTCAATATTTGCCTTGGAAATTTCTTCAAATACGTAAAACTCCAACCCAGTAATTTCATCTAATCATGTTTTAAAAATTCTGTGAACCCAGAATATGAAATCATACGGCAATACTTACACTCTCACTCTCATCTTTCTTCTTTCGTTTTTTCCGCCCTCGCTCACCACGTGACGATTTTCTCTTTTTACTTTTCTTTCGTTTCCGCTTTCCTCCACCCCACTCTTCATCTTGTTCTTCTTCATTTGAATCACCTTGATCTTGTTCTTCTTCCTCCCCTTCCCCTTGCTCCTCCTCCTCCTCTGCAACAACAATATCATTCATAGGGGCAAAACGTAATAAAAGAGTATACTTTTTAAGGGCTTGTTACAATTTAGATAATTTTCAGTGACACCATATAGAGTCAAGATATATCTGACACTAGTGTGCAGTACTAAATCACCTAAAATATTTACAACTAAGTGTTAACTATGAAACAAGTTGAATACTCAAGTATAGGATCAATTACAGTTCAGATAAATAATTTCTTTTGACAATGATGTTTTTCTGGGCAAAAACTCGTCGTTCCTTATATTCCACAATGCAAAATTTCTTTGAACGCTAAATCCAAGTTTTCAGTTTATTTCTTCTGTCAAAAGAAGTGTACAATAAGTAATTAGCTTTTTAAAACTATATTGTGATTATTGATAGTCTACCAAATATTCATAGTTAATGAATGAAAGACTGGTGGTACAATTAACTATTTGCAGACCATTCTCCTCTAGATTCATTGACATTAATTGTTCATGAGACTGTTTGGTCTTTTTTCAGCGTTTTTCGGCCGTCTTGACAAAATTGGGTTAAATGCATTTCAAGGCCTGACCGCTGTTTTTTTTTTTTTTTTTTTTTTTTTTTTTTTTTAGGTGGTAGTGGCCCTTTTCAAAGTCATCCAAAATAATTTTTTTCTACATGGTCCACATCATCACCAAAGTGTACTCGGTGTCTAAGTTAGGTTAAAACATACCATTGGTAAAAATCTCATAAAAATGTTTTCATGACTTATTGAAATATCAGAAAACACAAACAAAAACAACACACACAAATGGAAGTAACAATGTAATAAAATGAAAGGTCCTGGGATACACAGAAATTATCTATATATTTTTACCCTGCCCTGTACTTGTATGTTGTCATTTCATGGGAGTCCGAGTGTGAAAATTGGCTATGTTGCCCGGTAGAGTTAAACACCTCAGATCCTCGGGTGAAATGACTCCTGAGGCATGGCCCAATGTTGCCCAGCCGGGCTGAGAACAGGAAGTGTGTGATACCCATCCAACTGGAGAACGATAATTTTTTGACCAGTATTGTACCCTGTAAAACCCCATTACAGCAACAATAATAGGTAAATAATAGATAATTATATCATACTCAATTATTTCGAACATGATTTCATATGTAAAAAATAATAATAATAATAATAATAATAAAAAGTCTTCACATTTTCAATAGTTTTCAGTCTGGATCCGTCACTGTTGATGATCTATTACATGCTGCAATAAGGATTTGCAATATCTTCATGTGCATCTTATAAAAGTGATATTTTCAGTATCCCCACTTTCCCTTTTTAGGGTGTTGAAATAGTTGCCTCATAAAATATTCACACACGCACACACACACACAAATAATAACTTAAATATTGGCTTCCACATTTTATAGTAGAAATATTGTTCTATTCAGATACTGAATCAGATTTATTTATTCATTTATTTTTTATTTATTTTTTTTTTTTTTAGATTTGAGAAAATCTTAAAAATGGTCAATGTAGGCCAATAGACACCCAAAATTACTGCGATCCAGCTACACTATATGCAAGATTTTGAGGGGGGGGGGGGGAAATTATCTTAAAATATGCAAATGAAGTATAGCAAAATTAATAAAAGACTTTAAAAGCATAAATGTATAACAGCACACACTGATAATTAGCCAAACAGTTTTGACAAGCACGTAGTAACACAAACTAGTTCGGACATTGCAGTAATGAGTTCTGTGTTCAGTGTTTTGTTATTCCTGGCAAGATAAAGAAGTAGCTGGACTTAGAATTTGAGTGGTGCCCACACACTATATTTTCCGTCATTTAGTGGTGACTATAAGACCACTGCAGCTTAAACTATGTTCTATCCCACTCTATTTCTTCCGCTTTTTAACTTGTACCCCTTTCACCAGTCAGCTCATTTCAAGGTGGAATGCCAGTAAGAAATGTTGTGTTTCCAGCCATGTGTTGATTTTGGGTTATTTTGAAGACTATATAGCAATAAAGATAAAATAGAATTCAGTAACAATCCCAGTTTAATATCTGGGCCCATCACGAGCTCCAAATTCCGAAAAAAGTGATTAAAATCAAAAGCAATCCAGACAGTAGAAGGAAACGAACGAAAGTTTGACGGTTCCAGATATAAAGGTATTTGGTTTATCATTTTACAGTGTGAATGCAGCTCTATCTTGCCATACACACCAAGGTGAAGAGAATGTATCCTGGGGGGTGTTGGGGGCAGAGCCCCCCCATCAACCCTCCCCTTGGGTAGTGCCCAAAGGGCACACCAGGTCATGGCAACTAAAATTGATATATGAGGCTGGCTTATTGGTCAATACTTTTTTGGGGGGGGGTTGAAATGTGTGAATTCCCATAGAGTTTTGCTTAAGTTTAAATGACCTATTTTAAGCAGTTTTTGAGCTAGTTTTAAACATATTTTAAAAATAATTTTTCTTCTTATTTAAACCTGTTTTACCCTGTAATTTCTCTGATATATTCAAGCCCTCCCATGCTAACGGGACTAAGAAATAAGATCATCGATGGAGAAATGGCACTCGATCTCCTGAATGATTAATTTGTACAAGAAACAACACCAAGAATCGATGAAATCATTGGATTCCCTGCAGTCTCTAGGATGGTGCTCCGCTCTCTGTAACAAATACTGCAAAAGGAAGTGTGAAATGCACGATGAGCAGGATTCTAAATAAGGCTACTAACCAATCTTAAAACGCGTAAATGAAGTATAAAAATATTAATAAAAGACTTTCAGAGCATAAATGTGTAAATGTAAACACGGATAATTAGCCAAATATTGCTTCAACATGTGCGTAGTAACACTGGTGCTACTTAGGGCATCACAGTAATGAGTTAAGAGGTCACTGTGCTTTTCTTAGCAAAGTAAAAAGCTGATCGACTTCGAATTTATGCAGCGAACACGCATTATATTTTCCGTCATTTAGCGGTAAATATGAAGCCGCTGCAGCTTACACTATGTTCTATCCCATTTTATAACATGGCAGTGTCCATTTTCCTCTTCTCTATGCATGTCAGTGTCTTCAACCTATACCCTATTTAAATCTACCTATCAAAATGTGTGTGTGTATGTGTGTGTGTGCAAGTGAATGTGTGTATATATGTATATGTGTATGTATGTGTGCGTGCATGTGTGCATATGTATGTATATATGCGTATATGTATGTATGCATGCGTATATGTATGCATGCATGCATATATGCATGCATGCATGCGTATATGTATGTATGCATGCATGCATGCGTATATGTATGTATGCATGTATATATGTATGTATGCATGCGCATACGTATGTATGCATGTTATATGTATGTATGCATGTGTATATGTATGTATGCATGTGTATATGTATGTATGCATGTGTATATGTATGTATGCATGTGTATATGTATGTATGCATGTGTATATGTATGTATGCATGTGTATATGTATGTATGCATGAGTATATGTATGTATGCATGTTTATATGTATGTATGCATATGTATATGTATGTATGCATGTGTATATGTATGTATGCATGTGTATATGTATGTATGTATGTATATGTATATGTATGTATGCATGTGTATATGTATGTATGCATGTGTATATGTATGTATGCATATGTATATGTATGTATGCATGAATGTGTGTATATGTATGACCTTGTGTGCATGTGTGTGTAAGTGGTGTGTTTATGTGCGCTGATGTATGTATGGATGCATATAAGTGTGTGTGGATGCATTTAAGTGTGTGTGGATGCATTTAAGTGTGTGTGGATGCATTTAAGTGTGCGTGGATGCATTTAAGTGTGCGTGGATGCATTTAAGTGTGTGGATGTATATAACTAGGTGTGTATGTATACAAGTGTGTGGGTCGATGTATTTAGCATGCATGGATGTATGTGTGTGGATGGATGTATGTGTGTGGATGGATGTATGTGTGTGTGTGGATGGATGGATGTATGTGTGGATGGATGGATGTATGTGTGTGTGGATGGATGTGTGTGTGTGGATGGATGTGTGTGTGTGGATGTGTGTGTGTGTGTGATGGATGTGTGTGTGTGTGTGGATGTGTGTGTGTGTGTGGATGGATGTGATGGATGTGTGTGTGTGTGTGGATGTGTGTGTGTGGATGGTGTGTGTGTGGATGGATGGATGTGTGTGTGTGTGTGTGGATGTGTGTGTGTGTGTGTGGATGGATGTGTGTGTGTGTGTGTGTGTGGATGGATGTGTGTGTGTGTGTGTGGATGGATGTGTGTGTGATGTGTGTGTGTGTGATGTGGATGTGTGTGTTGTGTGATGGATGTGTGTGTGTGTGTGTGTGTGTGGATGGATGTGTGTGTGTGGTGTGTGTGTGATGGATATGTGTGTGTGTGTGTGTGTGTGTGTGTGTGGATGTGTGTGTGTGTGTGTGTGGTGTGTGGATGGATGGATGGATGTGATGTGTGTGATGGATGGATGTGTGTGTGTGTGTGTGTGTGTGTGTGATGGATGGATGTGTGTGTGTGTGTGGATGGATGGATGTGTGTGTGTGTGTGTGGATGGATGTGTGTGATGGATGGATGTGTGTGTGTGTGGATGGATGGATGTGTGTGTGTGGATGGATGGATGTGTGTGTGTGGATGGATGTGTGTGTGTGTGGATGGATGGATGTGTATGTGTGGATGGATGGATGTGTATGTGTGGATGGATGGATGTGTGTGTGTGGATGGATGGATGTGTGTGTGTGTGGATGGATGGATGTGTGTGTGTGTGTGGATGGATGGATGTGTGTGTGTGTGTGGATGGATGGATGTGTGTGTGTGTGGATGGATGTGTGTGTGTGTGTGGATGGATGGATGGATGTGTGTGTGTGGATGGATGGATGTGTGTGTGTGGATGGATGTGTGTGATGGATGGATGGATGTGTGTGTGTGGATGGATGTGTTGTGTGTGGATGGATGGATGTGTGTGTGTGGATGGATGGATGTGTGTGTGTGGATGGGATGTGATGGATGGATGGATGGATGTGTGTGTGGATGGATGGATGTGTGTGTGTGTGTGTGATGTGTGATGTGGATGTGTGTGTGATGGATGGATGGATGTGTGTGGATGGATGGATGTATGTATGTATGTTGTGTGTGGATGGATGTATGTATGTATGTGTGTGTGGATGTATGTATGTATGTATGTTGTGTGTGGATGGATGTATGAATGTATGTTGTGTGTGGATGGATGTATATATGTATGTTGTGTGTGGATGGATGTATGGATGTATGTATGTTGTGTGTGGATGGATGGATGGATGTATGTTGTGTGTGGATGGATGGATGTATGTATGTATGGATGTATATGTTGTGTGTGTGGATGGATGTATGAATGTATGTTGTGTGGATGGATGTATATATGTATGTTGTGTGGATGGATGTATGTATGTATGTTGTGTGTGGATGGATGGATGGATGTATGTTGTGTGTGGATGGATGGATGGATGGATGTTGTGTGTGGATGGATGTATGTATGTATGTTGTGTGTGGATGGATGTATGTTGTGTGTGATGGATGTATGTATGTTGTGTGTATGTGTGTATGGATGGATGTATGTATGTTGTGTGTGTATGGATGGATGTATGTATGTTGTGTGTGTATGGATGGATGTATGTATGTTGTGTGTGTATGGATGGATGTATGTATGTATGTTGTGTGTGTATGGATGTATGATGGATGGATGTATGTATGTTGCCTTGACTATCTAAAAGCACAGTAGTACTTTGAGATTGTTGGCTTGAGTAATAGACTAAAAGGGGTGTGGTAACTGTAAAAAATCATCCTTGTCATTCTTTGTATGATCATCTTGTTCATAAAAACAAAAATTCTACAATAGTGCATGTCCATAACCTCCTGTAGCCTGCCTGTGCTCTTGCAAAGGGTAACAAACCTTCACAGAAACCAATCTAAGGACTATTTTGCTAGAACATATGTACCAACAAACATGGGAGGCCTTTATGATTTGACAATATGTCACTATTACTTTAGATTCAAGATAGTCATTCATCAAAGATCACAATGTTTCACATGGAGGTAGGAAATCAAATATGATTACAGGGATTTTTATATTCTTAAGTAACCATTGCTTTTTACCCTGTGTTTATAACAATGATGATGATGATAAAACCAAAAAAGTTTGTTGTGATTTAGGTTCGAGTACAAGCACCATCTGCCAAAGCCTACAAGCACAAGTCCCGCGACGGGTCCTGGGCCCGGTGGCTTCTCTCGGCGTGGTTCGAATTGCGCGCCAAAGGCCGAGGCGAGAGGGTCGGCCAGCCTGCGTCAGCGACACTCGAGGGTGCCAGATGTGTACCCAACAAACGTTGCTTCAAACATCAACAAACCATAGCCTTTTCGAGTTAAACATGCCTCCATCACATGCTATTCGCGTCTCCTGGTTGGGAAATGCATAAATTAGCCAGACATTTCCCTTAAAATGCGTAGCATGGTCCCCTTTTACGGACCGGCTCGTCAGCGACACGGAAGAGACCTAGCATGATGCTTCCCACTCTTGTCGCTGACTAGCCGATCCTCTTTTGTAATTGCGTCCACCCAAGAAAATGCTAACCCAGATTTTCTTTCACAATCCTTCACTAAAACATAATGCATTGTTTCCACACACATCTACTTGTATTTCTGACGCGAACAATCAAATAAAATGCCTCTTTGGTCGACCAATAACAGTAATAAGGTCTATTTTCCTGAGCAACGCGACCTCACGCCGGCCCATTCAAAACAAAGCTCCATCAAACTTTAAAAAATCTACAAACTTACCTCTGTACTCCGTTTCCTCCACGTCCGAGGGCATCTCTGGCGTCTCGCTGCACTAACAAACACAATTTTTCAATGGATTTTTTTCTTATTTTTCTACCAAACAACAAAAATAAGAAGGGCAGCGAACCCGGCGACCGCCACCTCGTCCGATCGCGTCGCCGCTGAATGTTTGTCGCCGTCGGGTTTTTCGGACAAAAGAACCTCCAGTGCGCATGCGTGTGAGCCAGTACAAGGTGGCTTACGACGTTTGTACTGGTACCAGAATAAAATTTAGTTATAAGGACCAAAAAGCGAACTACTAAAACCTCGTGTTCATGTTACTGTATAATGTTGGATTTCGTAAACTGGCGCGAGAGTTCAGGCAAGTGCAAGTTTGCGATATTCAACTGTAGGAGCTGTCTGCATAGGATTTCCTTCTGTGGCAAATGCAATCTCAATCCTTACAATAATTACAGACGAACACGAAGCTCTCTCAGCCAAAATGGCTTACGCCTCTTATTCATTCAGCTTCAGTAAAGTCGCTCAGAGCGACCGCTTATTCAAAGCGGCTGCTTAAAGTGTGTATCGTAAGTTAGGTGAACATTTGTCTCACTAATTAGTAAAATCAGCACGATATGCGAAAACTTTCCA